GATGTTGTGCTTGCTCAGGATATGCTCAGTACCGCCCCACCTTCAGTCCAAGGAGTCCTTCACTAAGCACACCGTGGTCAACATGAGCAAGCGCTCCTTGTCCTCTAGCGAGGAGAAAGTTCTTGCTCTAGGCCTGAAGTTTGCGCTTACTCCCCGGTCCCTGCCCAAGGAAGAGAATCATTCAAGCCACTGAGCCCACTCTCCGCCGCCTAGACAAGACCACCGCCGATGAGATCCTCCGCCTCGACATCAGCCAAGCCCTCCGGAAACACAAGAATCCTAAGCCCAACACCACCAGAGAAGACCGTTCAGCCATCAAGTCCCTCCGCCAAGACAAATCCATCTCATGGACCGGGTTGAGTATGATCAGAAGATCATGGATATACTCAATTCCGGCAGCTACCGTGAACTTCGGAGAGACCCCACACCAGCTGCATCCTCGTTCCACCTGACTACACAGTAGGATCCGTCACACTCCAGTACTCCCAGTCAGCTCATAAGCCCCACTCCATATCGGCATCTCTTCAGTCTCCTGACGACGGACAGAGCATACTGTCCGAAACGTTGAGTTCCTCACGGTTCTTTTCTGAACCATACAGACTCACAAAGGATTCATATCCTTGCATGGTGCTACCGCAAGCTTTCCACCTTTGTAGAGATATAGTTTACACAATTTAATAGGATTCAGTTGTTCGTTGTTAAAATAATCAGGATCTTGATAAAAATGTCCAGCTTATATTAGGGGTTCCGGTGGGCCATGCACATAACTGTGTCAGCTCATGTTTTTCAGGTTAGCTAAAATACCACTCTCATAGAAACAAACAATTTGAGAAAAGTGTTAAAATCTATGGCTTGTTATTTAACTTATAAATATCTTAAACAGGAATTTAAGGAGAGCCCCAGTACATGTAATTAAGGAAATAACATGCATGTACTTCACAGTGTGTGTCCACAGAGTAACAAACATGAAACAGGCTGATTTTGCCATTCCTTGAGCAGATAACCTCAACAGAAATACCAGTATATACATTCCCGAGAAAAGTTTTGACATAATAAAAGTTCACATCATATCTGCATTTTTTTTTCTATCAGTCAACAAAACTAAGATCTGATTTTAGGAATTGCAAATGTTTGTCCACTATTTTGTAATGTTTGTCACAACCACTTTTTTGCCTCTAAATGTAAAAACCTTAGAAAACTTACATGTATCTTATGAACCCTTGCATGCATACATTTTTTTATGTGGTAATTAATTAATAGTAACTATAAATTGCTTCAAGGGCCCACAATCATAAGCTTTGCTTTTTAGTGGTACCTCTATGGCTTTTCCCCCGTATTTGTGCAGTGTTTGAAAATTGAGATATTGTGTACATGTACATGTATGTAAAACTGTGGAAATCAATGAACAGTGAATAATTTCAGGTAAACAGATACATTGAACATGTACATGATTAAATTCTTCCAGTATTTAGTGTCATTTGTGTCTGCGACCGGTATCTTATACCGCTTTTAAAACATTTGAATGTAGCAGTACATACATTTTAATTCACCAGTATGTGTTGATGGATATAAATTTGGGGCATCATGTATGGATCTCTTAATGTGAAAGTACTTGTACATGTATGATAAACCATGCCCTGTCTTTTTTGTTGGTTCTCTTCACAGATACTGGAGTTTACTACCAGCTTTGAGTATTGGCTTGTGATCTGACCTCCAAGCTCACCATCATAGTACACCACACACCTCTCCATGTCACCATACTGTCTGCTTGGATGTCAAGGAATTCTTGCTACATCATCACAAGTTTTTAGGTCAACTTGACCTTGACTGATGATGGCATCACACCCCTGGCATTGGGTTGGCATTGCTTGGTACCTGCATTCACTGCCTTCATTGGCTAGCACCTGCTTGTGGAACGAGGTTTAATGGACAAACCAATTCAATTGGAGGGCAGCTTCAGCAGGTAGGATTTGTTGAAGATTTGTTATTCCCTAATTTGGATGCTTATTAAATTGCACTGTCACTCTCAAGGATTTGGTACTCCCTGTGTGGATCCACATTGAGTTGCACTGTCAGCCTCAAGGATTTGGTATACCCTAGTGTGGATCCACATTGAGTTGCACTGTCAGTCTCAAGGATTTGATATTCCCTGTGTGGATCCACATTGAGTTGCACTGTCAGCCTCAAGGATTTGATATTTCCTAGTGTGGATCCACATTGAGCTGCACTGTTAGCCTCAAGGATTTGGTATTCCCTAGTGTGGATCCACATTGAGTTGCACTGTCAGTCTCAAGGATTTGATATTCCCTGTGTGGATCCACATTGAGTTGCACTGTCAGCCTCAAGGATTTGATATTTCCTAGTGTGGATCCACATTGAGCTGCACTGTCAGCATCAAGGATTTGGCATTCCCTGTGTGGATCCACATTGAGCTGCACTGTCAGCCTCAAGGATTTGGTATTCCCCGTGTGGATCCACATTGAGCTGCACTGTTAGCCTCAAGGATTTGGTATTCCCTAGTGTGGATCCACATTGAGTTGCACTGTCAGCCTCAAGGATTTGGTATTCCCTAGTCTGGATCCACATTGAGCTGCACTGTCGGCCTAAAGGATTTGGTATTCCCTAGTGTGGATCCACATTGAATTGCACTGTCAGCCTCAAGGATTTGGTATCCCCTTGTGTGGATCCACATTGAGCTGCACTGTCAGCCTCAAGGATTTGGTATTCCCTAGTGTGGATCCACATTGAATTGCACTGTCAGCCCATAGAGGAAGGACACAGAAGAAGTTGTAACTCAGGCAAGTCTAATGATGGTCGCCAACGAGTCTGATGAATAATAGAAAACATAAGCCTGCATCTTAGCTGGGCAAGTGGGGCCAGTAATACCCTGGCAATACTCATAGTTTTTTGGTTGCAATTAAATACAAACTATCGATGTGACCAGGAAATAGAGAGAGAAAAATTCCTGATATTAGACCTACTTTTGCCATCATAAATAAACTTTTTAAATTTTGACACACTCTTTCATTATCCATGCAAAGTTTGTAATTCTAGTCTCCTCCGTCCAATATACATCAGTGTCAAAGGCTTGGAACGAATTTGGCTAAGACTGGCCAACAAAATGTTCACTACTACTGGAAAGCTTAGTTCATTAGCAACAAAATGCGCTATTTCATCACAAGGAGTGATTGTGAAATCTCATAAAATATGCCTTTGTACAAATGCCATAATAAAAATGATTCAAACAAAACACAAAATCTTACATACAGTTTGGCTATTTATTCCTAAAAGAAGTCCAGAAGAAAGCGTTTGATGAACACTTCGGGTATGCAGCCTAATAAAAGCAACTGCGCAAACACTACACTTGATGATGTTGTCGGATTATATCAAGCACCAACGATGGCATGAATATTCAACTTCCTATACTACAGTACACAGCGTTTTAGGGATGCAGATTACCAACGAAAAATTGCGGCGACGATCATAGGGTACAAAGAGGGCTTATGGTTGCAAAACAGGTGGTGAGTAGCAGGCATGTGCTGCGCTCTGGCTATGGACATACCGGGCATGCCAGAAAGTGGTAATTGGCCAGATGTTATAGCCCGGGCAGGTCAAACTCCTTCGGTGTCCTTCCTCCATGGTCAGCCTCAAGGATTTGGNTGAATTGTTGTGATTTTCCCTATTTATTAGGCTATAACTTGTTGGGTTTACCGTAGTTCCTCGCTATTGTCTCTGATCTGTCTCAACATTTGCAAATAAGTACATGTACGTGGTTGGTTAAAGAGCCAAGGTTGACTTTTTTTTTGTTGTAACAGAAGATAAAATCATACATGTACATGTAGATCACTCAGAAGAACGTGTCGGCATCTGTAAAATGTTTATAAAAAGCACTACAGTTTAATGTATTTATGAAGATTTTAATCATGTTTTGTGAAACTCACCTTGCAGTGTCATTAAATGTGATACAGATTTCCGGAGTGGCGGTTTTTTAAAAGAAATCTACATTTGGTTACAGATTGAAATGTGACCATTTTGGACTTGAAGCTGTTGTGGAAAAGGAACTGCTAGTACAGAACATGTATTTTCTTGCTATGCAATATAAGAGTGTGGCTTGATCAGTTGGCCCCGATAAACTGTAGTGTTATATCTCTTTCATCTTTCCTGCAGATTCCCTGTCAAGGAAGACATCTGGCTGCAGATCATCAAACCTTAGAAAACCCACTGGACATCACAGTACCATTTCCAAGGCAATGTGATCAGTATCATGGATCAGACATCATGAGAGACGACTTACACGTACAAGTCATTTGCTGGAAATGGACTGCATCCAGGTTCCAATTCACTCAGTCAGTGGAGCATATCCTCCAATGGAAGACAGCCCTAGTGAAATGACATCTCTAATGGAACTCACAAGAGACAGCCAGAGAAACAGCATTACTCCAGAAGGACAGATGAAATTAAGTTTGTTAATTTCCTGCCGATGGACTGGTCAGCCACTTTTGAAGCCTTTACGTGTCCAAGTGTTCATTTCAATATTGGATTCTGTCAAATATGCACGTGCAACATGTACATCAGCCCATGTGAGTTTACATTGTACTTTTCATCATTGCTGGTACAAGACTGTATGAAGGAAGCCTGTGACTTGGGATAATTGGAGATGGCGTTTGACATCGAGCAGTGTACATGGACAGTACATGTATGTACACCGCTTTCCTAGCAGGAAGGATCAGTACGCCACTGTTGACTGCTGTGCTAAGATGCCAGGAACCCATTGCGTCAGACATCTAGAATTCTACATGGATTGCAAATCTCAGATCTAGAGCAGGTCACTGGAACTGAGTTTCAGAAAGTGACTTTTCTGGATCCATTTGACTTCCAACCCTGTCCCCTTAGTGCCACATCTTGGGATCCAAACTTGAAGTTACCATTTGGGGGACTTGTGGACAACCTCAGTACATGAACAATGCTGTGTTATGGACACTTCTAAAATGAAGGACTCTAGAAATGGTTTAATTATCCAACGCACAGAATGTGCCATAACACTGTGCAATTGGAAAGCATTTAACCAGCCCCCCTGCAGAATATCTGATATCAGAAAATTGAAATTTGATATTTACTTGTCAGTAAAAGTTAAGATGCTTTTGATAAGTTCAATTTTCAATTGGTGGAGAGAGCATTTGGTAATTTATAGAATAACTGAAATGCACATAAAAGTATTCAGAAAATACCAAAAACTCTTCCGAAAATGTAAACAATTTTAAACTAAAAAGTCTGACCGCTTACTGCTGCAAGGAAATAAGCTGAAAGAAAATTCCAATGTATTATTGACACTATCTTTAAAAGTCCTGCAGCATTCTTATGGGGGCTGGTTACCTGAAGGGTATTCATTGCTTGAGTACATTTGCCTTGTAGTATGCCTGTTGAGGGACTGGGTGCTGGATTGGTAAACAATACTTTGTTATCAGTGGTCAACAGTCACTACAGTGTACAGAGTGTCAATAGAGAAATGCTCTTCAAACTTTTTGTCAAACTATCGAGTTGCACATTGCTTCTTCATGGGCATTCTCTTCAAGTATAAAAACCTGATATTTCTATGTTACTCTATTGTTGATTTTGCAAGGTTTCTCTGGTTTATAGTTGAAAGTATTTGATGCACACATGAGGTGTTTCAGAGTTTCCTCAAACCCACACCAAAACCACAAAAAATTGACAAATTCCTCAAACATTCAATGTTTACCAATCTCGTGCCCAGCATCTTGAGTATAATCAGCACCGGCACACATCCAAATCACATCATTTAATAGTTTTGTTCTGATTACGAATGTGTAGTATTCATTTACAGTGTGAGCAACATCAGACCATGAGAAGATAGTTTACTCCTTCGAACCATGCATGAACCATCAAAGTGCTAGTAAATTTACATGTATCTTTAAAGGAAGTTTAACTTATTGCTCTTTTTCAGAGCTACATTTCTTTTTCTTGTTAGTCAATACGGGCAATTCACAATGCAGAGTGCCAACACGAATTTACCATGGAGAGGCTTTCATTGCAGTGCATCGTGGGAAAACACGGCACAGACCTATTTACTTACTGTGCTGTGGGCATGAAATTTTCATTTTACCTGAAAGTTTGATTGTCTCGGTTGAAAAGATTCATTCAATGTAACACCAGGAATATTCGTGATTCAAAAATGCTCAGATCACTCAAATTTCCCCATGTTACATGCCGACATACACTTTATCGCTATGAACCGCCATGCTTGTGTCATTCGAAAACTTGAAAAATTGCCTTCCGTTGGCAAACTTTTGGTGGTGCACTGTATTGTGAATCGCCTGTATTGAAAGTGCTGGTTAATTTCTATTCAACAGTCACAATCTCCATTCACGTCCAATTCTATCAAATGTAGGTGTGTGGTCTTAAAGACCAGTCCACTTCAGTTGAATACTCTTTGTTAAAAATGCAAAGAAAAAATATCTCTTATTTTGAAAGAATTAAAATTTCCTAAAAATTTCATCTTCATTAACAAGATTATTGCATGTCACTTGATCAGGTTTTATCTTTTTCAAAATCTACCAGTAATATTCACAGTATGTCACTCTATTTTAAGGTTGTGTTATTGGCTATTTTATCTCAATTGGATCAAGTGTACTTGTATGTTTTTGCAGAATTAATTTTGTGTGTGCCAGGTGCTGGTTATACATCATGAAGCCACTGTTAACATTACACCATACCTTTCCTTCACCAACAGGCAAACTCAAATCTCTCGAAGCACCCTAGCGCATACAAGTCCCCCCTGGTGTGGGCTGCGTGTTCCCCGTCCACAGGCACCGACAGGTTCCGGTGAGTTGCCCTGCTGCATAACTTGTGATTGGTTTGTTCAAGATGTGTTACAACTCTCAGATCATTAAATGCTGGGGTTGGCAGCAACATGGTAAGGATCCTGTCAACTTTGACAATCGGTTTATCTTTTCTGCCAAGCAGATGCGTGTATCCATGACTCTAAACATTGCAAATCAAAGGAACTGTTTTTCACACCTACTCAAAATTGTTCCATCGATATTTCAGAAATTCCAGTTGATCATGGTTTGGATCCAGCAAAGTGAAATGTTTACAAATGGTCACTTTTGTTCACTTTTTCTGTGACATTTTTAATGTTGGATGATTCTAAGGCAGTTTTCTCAGTCTCCTGTTGTGGGTATCTTCCATGGTATAACTTGACAAACTTCTGTCTTTTGTTGTACCAACTCAGTCCACAGTCGGTTCTTTTGACAAAAGAATTTTTAAAAAAGTAAATCAGCAAAAGAAATAACATTCACTAAGTAATTAACTGCACCTGAGCTACCGGTATAATAACCCCCCCCCAAAAAAAAACCAGGAAAGAGAAACATGACAAGCAAAACATCTTTTTACTTCGTTGCTTTTTAGTATTTTTTGTGACAAAAAGTTCTTGACCAAAATGTGATAAGTAAAAAAGTAGAACTAACTTTTTTGATGAGCAACAGAATTAGCATTTTGGGGGGATGAGAGAGCAAGTTTTTCCAAAACCCAAACCGTCATTATACTGTTTGTGTAATATGCCAAATTCAGAAATTTTGATGTCACTCTGAGAGAAGTATTTCAATCAGACTTTTTGTGTTTGACTCAGTTTTGATTTTGAAGCAACTACAAGAAGTACATGTATCCTTCATTTCAACCCTTTTTCTCAAGGTTTCGGAAACAAATATCTTTAAAATCTCTGACA